TTCTCTTTTCTCTTCTCAATAGAAGAACCCTTTTCAAAAAAGTTCTATATAAAACCATCTACAGTACATTCTCCATCAATCTGAAGAACCCTTTCATCATACATAAGGTTCTTAGAGTGTTCATGGTTCTATGTAGAACCATTGTCTTTACTAAAGAACCCTTGAAGTACCATCTTTTTTAACCGTGTTGAAGTATTTAGTAGTTAGCAGTTGTAGCATAAGCTGCTGTAAAACGCAGTTCAGTTGGTTAATGACTCTGTTTCTACTGTAAACTTATTTAATTATGGAACAAACACCAAAGAGACAAATTGAGGGTTTGTTAACATTTATTGATGTTTCAAAAACGGGAAACACATTCTTGTTCTTTCATTTGAGTCTTTTAAAGCAGCACAGAAATTTTCTCCAGATGCTTTTCTCTCCTGTGTTCTTTTCTTGTGTCGTTTTTTTTCTTCTCTTCCTTTTTCTTTTTCTCCTGCTCCTTTTTCTGCTTTTTGAGTTTTTCAGTCAGCTTTTTCTATTCTTTCTTTTCCTTCCTGGTCAGCATGCTGTCACTCGGGCACTGACACACTTTATTCAGCTTCAAAGTGGACAGGGAAATGGTGACCACTATGATTGGACCTTCTTGTCTCTCTCCGTCCTGGTCGTGTGCCGCTTCTCCCGGCATTCCATCTGTACAACCCAGTCCTGTCATGTCTCCTCTCATCTGTACATGTTCCCCCACCATCACTTTAGCAGTTCTGGAGTCAATGTTGTTCAGTACTTGCACCAGGTTCTCCATTCCCCAGATTTCTTCATCCCCCCTTGCTGTTCTCCCATCAACCTCACACTCCTTTTTCAGTGACAGATTTTCTCATCTTTCCCATCTGACGACGTTTTGCCGTTTTCCGGCATTTTCCATCTGCCTCTTCCTTCTTTGTCTCCTCCTTGCTTCTTTCTCTCTTTCCTGTTCTTTCTCTCATTTTTGTTCTTTCTGTCTTTTCTGTTCTATCTGCTTTCTCTTCTTTCCCTCTCCTCTGTTCCTTCTCTTTCTTCTCCACTGTGTTCTTTCTGAGCATTTCCAGCTCCTTGTTCTTCTTTTTAACGTCTGTTTCCAATTCCACAATCCTTAAATTTAGGTATTTCTCCCAGCAGGTCTGCAAGGTACTTTCCAGCTTCTGAACTTTTTCCTTCTGTGCTGTCCAAAAGCTTCTTTTCTTGTTCTTTAAGCTGTGTCAGTTTCTCCCGGGCCTCCTCCAGTTCTCCATGTAGTTCATCAAACCTATAGCTCTGCATCTCACAACAGTTACACAAGTACGCCGCTGTAATAATGGAAGTTGGAGCTTCTGCAGCCTATATTTATAAACTCTCCTCGATGACGTCACAGACTGTCATTGTGACATCATTATATATATTAACCACTGTTCTATGGTGAATGTCGGCGGTCACGCAGCACTCAGCATAATATGGCCTGCAGCTATAGGCCTGAATATGGAGCTAAGTTTGGCCAAAACATTCAAATAAAAAATTAAATTCATCACCAATATATTAAGTACCAAAGTGTAAATAAAATAAATGTAATGAAAAGTACAAATACAATGTTTGTACACTTTTTTATTTGTTTTGCCAAAAGTATTCTCACCCATCCAAATCATTGAATTCAGGTGTTCCAATCACTTCATGGCCACAGGTGTATAAAACCAAGCACCTAGGCATGCAGACTGCTTCTACGAACAATTGTGAAAGAATGGGTTGCTCTCAGGAGCTCAGTGAATTCCAGCATGGTACCGTGATAGGATGCCACTGTGCAACAAGTCCAGTCGTGAAATTTCCTCGCTACTAAATATTCCACAGTCAACTGTCAGTGGTATTATAACAAAGTGGAAGTGATTGGGAACAACAGCAACTCAGCCACAAAGTGGTAGGCCACACAAAATGACAGAGAGGGGTCAGCGGATGCTGAAGCGCATAGTGCGCAGAGAGTCAATCGCTACAGACCTCCAAACTTCATGTGGCCTTCTGATTAGCTCAAGAACAGCGTAGAGAGCTTCATGAAATGGGTTTCCATGACCGAGCAGCTGCATCCAAGGTTCATGAAGACATGGATGAGCGAGTTTGGTGTGGAAGAACTTGACTGGCCTGCACAGAGTCCTGACCTCAACCCGACAGAACACCTTTGGGATGAATTAGAGCAGAGACTGCGAGCCAGGCCTTCTCGTACAACATCAGTGTCTGACCTCACAAATGCGCTTCTGGAAGAACGGTCAAAAATTCCCATAAACACACTCCTAAACCTTGTGGAAAGCCTTCCCAGAAGAGTTGAAGCTGTTATAGCTGCAAAGGGTGGGCCGACATCATATTAAACCCTATGGATTAAGAATGGGATGTTACTCAAGTTCATATGCGTGTGAAGGCAGACGAGCGAATACTTTTGGCAATATAGTGTATTTTTCCTTTGCTCCTGCTCACACAAAGCATAATGAAGAACTGTATTTACTATCAAACTCCTCAGTGAGCCTATACGTTTCTGAGTCTTCATGTAACATTGATGGTAAGATAATGGTAAAACTGAACATTCTATGGGGTCTATTTTGCCTTAGCACACCCTTCATGTGTCCTTCCACCCTGAATGAATAATGGATAAAAATGAATCGATACTATCACCTAAACTATCACACAACTACAGTAAACGTTTCGGACGTCTGGCAGCGTGTTCATATCTATTTCATGCATTAACTTTCTAGAAAGGAGCTTTTAGTGATGTTAAACTCCTTAGATGTCTATACTAACAATATAGACTAACAATACTCACTTAGTATCTCTAGAACAAACAGTGCTGTACAACCATTTGACTATGCAGAAATTTTGAAAAATCGGTAGGGTTCCACTTTAATGCGTCAGTGTTCCTACTAAGTTGTGAGGTAAGGATTTGGCCAAAAACACAAGCCTTGATGGCGGAGGGGTACACGCATGGCATTGTGAGGCAAAATAGTCTCCCAAAAATGATTTTTCAAGATTTACCGCTATGTTACCATCAACAATGTAAAACTATTAGAAGCCAAGTGTGAGTTTTCTGATGGTTTTGAATAGTAAAATAGATATTTTTCGTTGTGTACATTATGACTCCTGGTTCCTGTCACCACCAATGCCAGCAAGGATTTCCACCATTGTAAAGAAATCTAAGTTGGCAAGTTTCTCCACAGTGAATCATTTCACATCACACCACGCTGAATGACTGGTACATCTCAATGAATGAATTATACTGGCAAAACTTCAGAGCCCTGTTAAAACGTACGGCACTTCACTGAACTGTAGAAAACTCTAGACTAAGTGAGGCATAAGAAAATTTCAGAAATGGTCGGTGCAGTAAACCTGCAGCTTACTGAAGCACTGTAGTGTTTTGCAAGGATGTTTCACTTTCCTCTTTTGGAGTTTAAGTATGTGTACAAGAAGTAGAAAGCATTTTGTCCACAGGGTGGCGCTCTTACATAAGCTACACCAACAGGAGCTGTGTTGCTGTTCCAGTGGGTAAACTCGATTAAAGGGGGATCCTAACAATTTTTCGGAATTTCTCCACAATTAAGTGTTTAAGATGGAAACAAAGACATTCAGTGTGGTTTGGTGTGAAATGCTTTGTTCTAGAGAATCTCACAGTCTGAATAGTTCACAGTGGTGGTGATAGGAACCAGATGTCCAAAGAGTTTATTATCTCCTAAAGCTACATTACAGGAAGTTATTACATGAAATGGATATGAATACACTGCCTGATGCCTGCCTTATGATTTTTTTAAGATAAGCTTTTAGCCTCAAGCTTATTTTTTTCATTCATTCATGGTGGAGGGATATATGTGGGGCGTTATAAGGCAGAATAGTTCCCAAAGAAAACTTCTTTTGGTTTTACCAGTGTTTCACCATTAGCAACATTACAAATAAAAACTCAGAAGATGCGTAGGTTCACTTGTGGTTTTGGATAGTAAAAAATGGCTAAATTTGTGTTGTAGATTAAATGACCCCTGGTTTCTATCACCACCACTGTAAACAAATCTGGATCAGTAGGTTTCACTACAGTGAACCATTTCATATTAAAACACTCTGAATTACTTTGTTTACATCTTGACTGAATTATACAGAAATTTTGAAAAATTGGTGGAATTCCCTTTTAATGACTCAGAGTCCTGTGGTAGCATCAAGGTGAGGCTAGGTACACTATGTTGGGCATGGTGGTTTTCAGCTAATTTATAGCAGTGTATGAGGTAGGCAGGAGGGTGTATAATAAAGCCTGACTTTGGAAGAACTTATGAAAGTACATGCTTGGCAAATTACTAGCTGATTCGAGTTACCTTTGTTTCCATTTAGAGCAGGCCTGTCCAAAGTTGACCCGTGGGTTGTTTGATTTGGCCTGCCAGGAATTTGGCCTTACCCCTTCACCCAATGACAGAGCAAAAATTTTTATGCTACGCATGTTTTATTTTCCTTTTAACAATTTCCTGCTCTTTTAAAACTTAATTGGAAACATCCTTATATTTCTTTGTCTTTTTGGCCCTTGGCATTCCAGAAACTGTGTCCTCCATGACAAAAGGTTTAGACAGCCCTGATTTAGAGCAACTGTTGTGGAACTGGTTAGTCTTTACATAGAAGTTGCTGACTATAGTTGCAAAACGTCTTTCTAAAGCAGCTCATGTCTTTCTCCTGTACAGTGTCTTGTTAAAAATACAATGAAAATTGAATAAAAGTAAACTTCTACTGTGGTAGTGCACTAATTACACCTTCTGACACCTTAACACAAGCCAAAACACAAGCTTAGTTGCTTGTGCAACAAAGACTCTTTGGCCTTGCTATGTGTTCATATCAGCAGGTCAAGGTTGGTCCTTTATCTCACTAAAATGTCAAGACCTCCTCCAACAGGTGAACTTGGCCCTCTGTTCACATTCAAAAGGCTGAATGCATATCGTGGGAAGATTATGTACAGAAAGATGACATAACAGCATGTAGAGCTTCTTTGGTTTAAAGATAGTCAGAGTGTGTAATTTTGATATTTTCTGGATGTTTTGTTGTAACTGTGCACATGTTTTTGTATTACTGTGTAAACTTATGCATTATAGGTATCAAGTGACATTAAAGTATAGACATTTTCTGAGGTACCCATAGCACTCAAACAGCCTATCTGTAGTTCTGCATATGAAATATAATGTATTTTTATAAAAGGTTATAAAAAAACCATTATTATGCATAATTATGTTCACGAGTAACTGTTTTAGTTCTTTGGATTTGAATATAAGTGGTAACTAAAGTTAAAGTGCAGACCGTCAGATTTAATTTGTTCTGCCTTTTCTTACAATGATTCCTAGAAACGCAGCCACTTGTGGTTCACAACAGAGTCAAACAACAAGAAACTGTGTTTATTTACAAACTGCACTGTATAAATCCCTTACTCCACGAAGGCAGCCAATCAAGTGGCACCTAGATGACGCTTTTGGCAGGTTTGACGTTATCTTTGAGCAGCAGGTAGTCGGAGAACCAGGTGGGGGCATAGGAGAGTGGCAGCCAGAAGAATTTAGCATCCCAGCCTGGAGAATAACGGGTGCGGGGGTGCACAGCTGACACGGCATGCTCCATACAGCTCACGACTTTCATCAAGTCGCTGTCCGGCATCTTAGAGAACCTCTCCTCCATCACCTTCTCCACTGGTACACACAGTAAAACACACAAAGACATTTTCAGCACACATTTTGCATTTGGAATGTAAAATAACCTCAATGTCCAACACATGATGCATATCATGCCCGAAGCATGATATACATCATTTGTATGAAACACCCTCAAACCATGTTCCTACATATTTGAGTCAAAAACATTACGCAGAGAAAAATATTCATATAATTTAGCAGATCAGCTGAAGCTCTGTATGGTGCAGCACAACATTAAATTATTTTATTCATTTCCTTAATTTAAAGGCATTTTTTTTCATTAATTCTTATTACAGCAACTTTTTAAGTTGAATTTATTAAACTGTTATTGAACTAGTAACTGTTGAATTCCTGAACTTCAGTGTTTTGCCTCTAGACCATACGGGAGTGAGCCAAAAACAACAAAATATTTTTTATATATAATATAATTACCTTCATAATACTTTGTTTGACAACAGTATACAGATTATAAAGAGAGAAAAAAAACATTATTTACAGATTTATCTTCCAATCTTAATGTGTTGAGGTAATGAGAGTTTGGAAATTTTAAATAAATTCACTCTTTCAGGTTTATTTTTAATTATTCAGGCATCACTGTTTGTATAGCCAACAAAGAAAAACATTAAATTTCGTCTTCTAATTTTTTTCAACTTGTCTCCCAGGATTAGTCATGTTTGTTAGAATAACTCATATGTACCTTTGCTTATGTAATCATCTCCGTACTCCTCCTTGGTTTCTTTTGGTAACTTCTCCCAAAGCTTTTTAACGTTGCTGATTAGAAGGTTTGTATCTGTCACACTGGTCTTGAAGAATCCTGGTTCAATACACAGGACTTTGACTCCAAAGGGGTGCAAGCCCCTCCTGAAACACAGAACAAAACGTGTATTTTCTCACAGAGAGGTGGCCAAGGTGTCTTAGTTAAGGAGAATGTGTCTGTTGAACAGACCCCTCCCTGCATAGTTTTACATGGACATACACCAATCAGGCATAACATTATGATCACCTCCTTGTTTCTATGCTCATTGTCCATTTTATCAGCTCCACTTACTATATAGGAGCACTTTGTAGTTCTACAATTACAGACTGTAGTCCATCTGTTTCTCTGCATACTTTGTTAGCCCCCTTTTACCCTGTTCTTCAGTGGTCAGGACCCCCATGGACCCTCAGAGAGCAGGTACTATTTGGGTGGTGGATCATTCTCAGCACTGCAGTAACACTGACGTGGTGGTGGTGTGTTAGTGTGTGTTGCGCTGGTCTGAATTGATCAGACACAGCAGTGCTGCTGGAGTTTTTAAACACCTCAGTGGACTGAGAATAGTCCACAAACCAAAAATATCCAGCCAACAGCGTCCTGTGGGCAGCGGCCTGTGACCACTGATGAAGGACTAGAGGATCACCAACACAAACTGTGCAGCAGCTATCGTCTCTGACTTTACATCTACAAGGTGGACTGACCAGGTAGGAGTGTCTAATAGAGTGGACAGTGAGTGGACACAGTGTTTAAAAACTCCAGCAGCACTGCTGTGTCTGATCAACTCGTACCAGCGCAACACACACTAACACACCACCACCATGTCAGTGTCACTGCAGTGCTGAGAATAATCCACCACCCAAATAGTACCTGCTCTCTGAGGGTCCATGGGGGTCCTGACCACTGAAGAACAGGGTAAAAGGGGGCTAACAAAGTATGCAGAGAAACAGATGGACTACAGTCTGTTACTGTAGATCTACAAAGTGCACCTATAAAATAAGTGGAGCTGATAAAATGGACAATGAGTGTAGAAACAAGGAGGTGGTCATAATGTTATGCCTGATTGGTGTATGTGCACAGGTTAAAGGAAATGCTAATCAGGTTCATGCTCCTTACCTCAAGCTGTCAGTGAATGCTTCCACACCATATTTGGACACACAGTATGGTCCCCCGACTGGACTGATCCTTCCGAATACACTGGCCACGTTCACCACACGACCCCTTGCCTTTTTGATGAGCGGGAGGACGCTCAGGGTCACTCCGATGACACCGTCCAGGTTGACTTCCATCATGGACTTGTAGTCCTGCAGTGTCATCCAATCGCAGCAACCCGCCGGCACAGATACACCCGCATTGTTGACCACGGCCCACAGACCTGCCAGTTTGGAGAGTGGTTAGAGTGTCGCAGTTTAGCACTAACAGAATATAATATAATATTGTCCTTATTTGCCCCTTTTTAATGATCACTTTGACATTGCACTATTGCAGTAGTAAGCACTGTTACACTGCAAGAGCCAGTATGTAGGCCACACATTAATTCCATGTCTATTATGGCCACTTAACCAACTTTTGTAGTAGTTAATGAGTAACTTAAAAATTTATTGCAGAATAAGTCATAAGTTTAAAGGAACTCTTCATTGGTAAAGGGAATCATTGCTGATAACAAAATACACCTTTCTGGCAATCATTTTCAATGTGTTTGAAGAATGATCGTCTACATTCAGTGGACCCACTAAAGACTGATTCATTATCTCTCACTTCTCTTATCAGACCCTGAACACAGTGCAGTTTCTATCACCCGTTGTTAATGATGCAGAGTTCGGGTGAAAAGGTTCATTTTATGTTGGATGAACTTCAGGAGTCATCAAACGACAAAATAACTTATAATGTAGAAAGGAAAAGTTCATTAAAGCCATGGCTATGAAATCCCAGGTGGTTGCTATGTTATCCCAGGTCATTGCTAACATGTTGCTAGTAAATGCTATAAAATCCCAGGTGGTTGCTATGGTATCCCAGGTCATAGCTAAGATGTCGCTAGGAAATGCTATGAAATCCCAGGTGGTTGCTATGGTATCCCAGGTCAATGCTGAGATGTCGCTTGGAAATGCTATGGAATCCCAGGTGGTTGCTATGGTATCCCAGGTCATTGCTAAAATGTTGCTAGGAAATGCTATGGAATCCCAGGTGGTTGCTATGGTATTCCAGGTCATTGCTAAGATGTTGCTAGGAAATGCTATGGAATCCCAGGTGGTTGCTAAGATGTTGTTAGGACATTGCTATGGTATCCCAGGTGGTTGCTAAGGTGTTGTTAGGACATTGCTATGGAATCCCAGGTGGTTGCTATGTTATCCCAGGTCATTGCTAAAATGTTGCTAAGAAATGCTATGCAATCCCAGGTGGTTGCCATGTTATCCCAGGCCATTGCTAAGATGTTGCTAGGAAATGCTATGGAATCCCAGGTGGTTGCTATGTTATACCAGGTCATTGCTAAGATGTTGCTAGGAAATGCTATGGAATGTCTGTGAGAGTCAGTGTGAGAGTCTTTGTGACATTTGTGGCAGTTAAATTAGAACATTACCAACATTCCCCCATTCCTTTCCTAAGGGGAAAAAAATAGTGTTTGAACAAACACTGTATGAAAACCATATGTGCGATTGGTCCCAATAGCACAAGCGCACTTTGTTAAGCCAACTTAATGTCATTTCTGAATGTTTTCAGTGTAATTTCTTCACCTTTCTGCCCCACCAGATTCTTGATGAAGGCCACAGCCTTGTCAACACTTTCAGTCTTTGTGACGTCCAGATGGACCGTTGATAGTCTGTTAGAGCAGGATTTTTTCAGCTCCTCTTCACCCTTCTCCGTGAAGCACGCTGCCACAACACAAAAGCCACACTTGTCCAGATGGCGCGCTAGAAGGTTTCCAAAGCCGGAGTCGCAGCCAGTGATGTACACATACTTGCTGCCTCTGTCTGGAACTCTCTCCAGCTCACGGTACCAACGCACCACATAGTACAGGACGACCAGAGCCGCTATGTACATCCACATGGTTGCTACGTAGAGAGCAGTTGCAAAAGTGTGTCACTATAAATCAGTTTTGTAATATTGCAGTGCAACCACATTTTAGCATGAAGTCTTTTAGGATTCAGTTTAAAGATTTGCATCCATGAGGCTTGTAGCACATCATAAATGCATTCTAAGAATTTGAATTTAGAAATGACTAAAAGTGAAATATGGGCCCCAATTTTTTGTATTATATGTAGTTCTCTGAGATCTACTTCTGATGTTTTGTGTTTTTTTTTAACCAAAACCACACAAAACATCGAAAGTTGTGAATCATTTTCTATGACCATTTTCCAACTTTCTTTTTTTATCCTTTAGAATTAAACATTCTCATGACTGAGAGGCCTACAGTTGCATGCAAAGGTTGACCACTGGTCAAATTACACATTTTATTGATTTTCAAAGTGAGAATAAAAGTTAACACATCCTCTACAGAGAACATTTAATTTGAATGCAACATTACTGTTTATTTGCTGAATTCAACATATTTGGAAAAAATTCAAACATATAATGTGGCCTGTGTAAATGTTTTGTATATGATCTATGTTCTGATTGGCTGCCTTGTATTGTGCCTCACTTTAAAAAGCATTCCATGCTAAAAAACCTTTTTGATAATGGGAGAGGGCAAACTGCTGCAGGCTGAATAGGTGGATAGGTAAATGTGTTGGTTATTGTGACATCACAAAAACTTTGACTTTAAAATGGTCTGTTTTTGCAGCTTAATTTCCATATATTGACCATATGGATTGGAGAGTTAATGGTATGTTGTGAAAATACGTTGAACTCTTTGGTGAGTAGGTTCATTCTAGTGGGTTCTGTGTTGCAGGTCTAACCTTGGTAAGGCACTGCAATCACAAGAAGTCCATTGCACTCAAACAACCCGAATGTGGGGTCATTTCTGTTCAGTGACCAACAGTACTGTACAAAATTATATTAGCATGTAACAGCACAAAACTTTGCTTTAGGTTTGCCACCAAATGAAAAGAGTTCTATTTAGTCAGTTTCCTGTACTGAACAGGAACATTCCAATGGTCTTGTTCTTTTCAGAGTATGTGGTCAAGTATATGTATCTAGTTTTTACTCATTATATTTTAGTCCCTCACATTTAGTTCTTAAGAGAAATAGCAGGATACCACATTTTCTTTTCTGATATTGATATTGAAACCTTGAGACTGGTGGCCAATAGAGATCTGATATTTTTCTTTAAAATATAGCAAGCTTTAAAACGAGCTATTCGTTATTGAAGCTTTTCACTTTAGATGAGCATCTGAAAGGAGGCTATCATCCTTAAACTGCTCAGACACTCTACTCCCCCATAGGAAGAAATAAACAGCTAGTTTACACACCCCCTGGCAAATTCCATGTTTTGTCGATTTTGTAAGTGAAAATAAGTTATCACATTCTCTAAAGGGAACAAACTTGGAGAAGGCATTTTTATGCAGATATATGAGCACATTTTCTATTTATTTGCTGAGTTTAATATGTTGGGAAAAAGTAAAAAATAAAATGTGCTGTGCACAGGCCACATATTTATGTTTAACGTTAAATTCAGCAAATAAACAGTAACTGCATTACAATGCGTGAGAGTGTGTCTCTGTAGAGGATGTTAACTTACATTCATTTAGAAGGCTCCTTTCAGGGGTGCCTAAACTTTTGCACATGACGTTATGTGGCATTTCAGGCTAGGTTTGTTACATTGGATCAGATTATGGCTGGGCAATATAATTATATATATTGTGATCATTATGAATTATGTCACAATACAATACAATAGGCTTTAGAGCAACACAGTATGCAAAACATTGAATACAAACCACTGTATTCATAGTTATTGAAGGTATTTTTTAAAATGTAGCACTACTGGTTCTTTTTTTTCTGTTCCAACTGATCAGATGTCTGAGAAAATAAATCTTGTGACATATGCTGTGTCCTGAAAACTTCTTGAAGTATTGCTATATAATATTTTTTGCCATATCAACCACCTCTACATCAGATTCATCATTTCTTTCCCTCTACAAATATTCTCTTGACACCCCACCAATTTCCAATCTCTAGTTCCTAATTCCTCTATTGTGCTTAATTTCTTTCAGTTCTATTAGTTCAGCACATGGACTGCTTTGCTGTTGCTCAGACCCTTTTACATTTTAGCCTTTAACTTTTTGTTTCAGATCAAAATGGTCCCAAAAGAGGAAAAACATCACCTAGCAAACTTCAATTCCTATGCTGATACATGCTGGATATATTCTTTCTCATACTCAGTGTTTTGAACACACTCAAGTATTGTGTAGGTCAGATTAAAGGGTTATTTCACCGATTTCTCAAAGTTCCTGTATAATCCAGTGGTTGAGATGTAAACAAAGTCATTCAGAGTGGTTTGATGTGAAAAGCTTTATTTGCAGAGAAACTTACAGACTCAGATTTCTATACAGTGGTGGTGATAGGAACCAGGAGTCCAGATGTCTACAATGCAAATATAGTCATTTTACTTACTATCCAAAACCATTAATGGACCTTCATGAGTTTTTATGCAACAATGATGGTAAAATGATGATCAATCTGACAAAATAAGTTTTCTTTGGGAACTATTTTGCCTTAGAACAACCCTTCATGTATAATAATGTAAAATAAATTGATTAAAATACGTTTTAGACCAAAACTTAATCACAAAACTAATATAAAACAATGACTCAGACATTAAGCAGCGTTTTCATAACCATTTCATATAGTAACTTTCTGAGAGGGAACTTTTACAGGTGTTAAACTCCTCAGACGTCTGGTTCCTATCACCTCCACTCTGAACAATTCTGACTCTGTAAGTTTCTTTAGAAGGGAACATTTCACATCAAAGCACTCTGCATGATTTTATTGACATATTGACCTTTTAATTATACAGAACTTTTGAAAAATGAGTGAAGTTCCCCTTTATGTCATCTTTTAAGCATATGCCCTTTTTGTTTTAGCCAGGGCTGAACTCACAGGAGGAGGAGTGTTCTAACTTGTAGGTTCATCCCATAGTTTTGGAATGAAGTCACAAGATTTGTATCATAACCAAGAGGTTCCTGCAAACTATGGAATGAGAGAATTAAAGACAGCTGAAAAGCTGTCACCAAGAGAAAATGAGCCCTGCTTATCATCTCATGATGCTGACACAGCCTGCATTACAAAGATTATTTACAGATATGACTCCTAAGTCATTTTCTCACTTCTCATATTCTGTGTCTAAGTTAGGCGAGGAATAGTTTGGCTGTGATCAACACTGCGCACTGCCACACTAAATATATGTGGCAAAATAGAGCAGCAGCAGCTTCGTGGCTGCTGCATTACAGCAGTTTTAGTCTAAAGACCGTGAAAAAGTTTAGTCTGCTGTACCTGTGATGTCTTCGTGCTGCAGGGAAAGTCTCGCACTGTGATTTCAGGCTAAGCTGAGTTTCTATACTGTCCTGCGTCACAAAGCGCAGCGTCCGGCCAATCCGCGCTGTGCTGTCTCGCGCAGTTGATTCTTATCTAGAGACTCTGAAACATTTCTAAAACAGCCACAGGGGGCGCCATCAAACCACTACTGCTGTAACAGAACTGCGTATTCAGTTTGATACTCCAGTTTCTTATATTCAACATATTAAATCATAAATCATGTTAGTAGTTTATAAGGAACTGTTTGTTTCCAGCGTTATCTTACAAATCAAAATTTTCAAGATAGCACATTGTTTCATGATATCTTTTTTAATTATTATATACGTGATTCTAAAGTAAAATATGCCACCAGAAATCATGTCTAATAAATCTGCATGTAGGTTGGTCTTGTACCCCTGCTGAGAAAAGCAGCACAGACCAGCAAGCATTTCATGCTGGTCTATGCTGGTCTAGTGCAGGTCTGGTTCTGGTTTAGCTGGTCACCCAACATGGTCAAGCTGGTTGACTAGAATACCAGCATCCAAAACACAACATATGCTGGATTTGGTGGTGACAATCATATCAACTTCCATTGCTGCTGACCAGCATACCAGCATTCAAACACAACATATGCTGGATTTGGTGGTGACCAGCATATGAACTTCCATTGCTGCTGACCAGCATCAAAACACACCATGCTCTGGTTTTGGTGGTGACCAGCATATCAACTTCCATTGCTACTGACCAGCATACCAGCATCCAAACATAACATATGCTGGTTTTGGTGGTGACCAGCATATCATGTTCCATTGCTGCTGGCCAGAATACCAGCATCAGAACACAACATATGCTGGTTTTGTTGGTGCCCAGCCATGCTGGGCTATGCTGTTTTTTTCTAACAGGGATACCCAAAAGTTAAGTAATAACTTTATTTATAGAGCACTTTTTCACTCCGGTGGCAGCTCAAAGTGCTTTACAGACAGGTGATAAAGCTGAACAGTAGTAGAAGAAACTATGAGTATTAATTTAAAATCATATAAGACAATGACACAGATCACATTAAGAAGATAAATACCAAAGAGATTTTAATTAATGAGTTAATTTATAGAGATACATTTTCAAATGTTTCTTAAAAGTGTGCATTGAGTTTGACTATCTAATTAAAGAAGAAATTGAGTTCCACAGTTTAGAATCATAATAACTGAAAGAGTCTCTGCATGTTTTCTGTATTTTACGGAAGATATTTGCAGAAGACCAGCACTACCTCCCTTTTTCCGTCATTTTCATATTAACCGTTGATAGCCTCCACTGCCAATCTTCAAATCTAGATGCCCACAGACAGTAGGCTCCGGTGGTGGCAGCAGGGGGCGTCAACTGAGCTCCACCGCCTTAATATCCGAGAAAAGATGCATTTTCTGAGCACAAAACGCAGCCTACCGCCGGGGTCGGTTAATTATATCCTACATTATTCAATGTTGCCTTAACTAAGTTGTAAGTGGGGAAGTTTAACCTAATAATGCAGAGCTCATGAACTGGCTGTCTGCCACACTACGTTCAGCATTTACACCTCCAGCCTGAAAAACAAATGTGCTGCTCTTCTTGAGGACAAAAAAGGCATGGAGTTCGATTTACAGAAAATAATTTCAATTTAATCACAATTGCAATTTTGGTCAGAACAATCACAATTAGATATTTTCCCCAAATAGTTCAGACTTAACTCATGTAGACTCAGGAGCACACACAGCAGTTAATGCTTGCATAAAGCAGCAGTTTTCCCACTGCCTAATTTTCCTAACTTTGGGTCTTTCAGGTGAAAATGCTAAATAATTTAAAAAAAAACATGCACATAATCTACAGATCTGTCCAGAAATATGTGCATGTCCTCCCTACATTGAAACACAGACAGAAAGGGTACTCGCTTTATAGGGCCTCCCTGATGGCCTCCTGCTGTTTCTTCTCACTTGTTTGGAACACACTGGGTTTGGTCACCTGTCCTCAGAACAGCTCCTGGTTACTGCATATCCATTGCACAGTGATGTGGAGGCTCATGCAAGGGGTATAAAAATATGAAAGAGTGTCAGAACTACAGTTGGAAAGAGTCGTTATAACCATTGCTTCACCTGTTTTTCCCCGTTTCTGTATTCGAATAGTTATACTAATGCTGTTTGCTATCCGGTGTCGACCACAGGAGGATGGGTTCCCCATTTTGAGTCTTGGTTCCTCTCAAGGGTTCTTCTCAAGGGAGTTTTTCCTTGCCACTCTCGCCATTGGCTTGCTCACGGGGGCTCGGACATGGATTTTTCTGTATAGCTGCATTATGACAACACCTGTTGTAAAAAGTGCTATATACATTAACTTTGACTTGACTTGACTTCACATTTTATTCCCTTTCCACTTTTATAAACAACCTGATTCAGATTTAATATCAATTCTATCTCATTTCAGTTACAGACCGGAATCATAAAGATAACATGGATCACTACTGTTCAAGATAAGGCCAAAATAAGAACACATTTCATATATCAAGATGAATATTTGCTGAACCAAAGTGATATATAAGTGAGTCATATTCAGACAAAATCACTGCAAAACACTCAACTGCCTCTTTGTATGTCTACAGTTTTTGGGGAATGTAGGGATTGTAAAACATGTACAAGTACATTCCTGCAACCAGTTGATACCCGTTCCATTATGGGTTGCGATGGAGGCAGAAGTTCAGAAGAATTTTTATTTAACTAAGTCACCATCCGACAAATTACTTAACTGGACATAAGGTTTAAACTTACTTTCCTAAATTGAAAATGTTAAAATAATATTGCAGTGATCCAATGCAATATTCTATTTGTCAAAAATGTGACATTTAGCAAAAAAGTCAAACTTCTGACAGTAGGCCCAAGAAAACAGTTCCTTACCCTGGGGGGCAAAAATTTCCAATAGCTGGACAGCCCATTATCTTATCACAGTCATGTCTGCCTGCGTGTTGAGAAAAGCAGCATTTAGCAGGCTCTTAAATGCAAACCTGTCAGATTTAGCTTTTATGTCTCAATATTATTTGATTACCCACCCACAAGTCAAAACTGCTACCCAAAAATGATGTAGAGAGCATACTGTAAAAGTCACCAACACATAATATTTACCAGCATTATTATATGTCATGACTATCCTAAGAAATGATGCATATAAAACACACAAAAACATGTAAAAGTTTGGAGCAATTGCTCTTACCATGAGTATGAAGACTCCACAATTAAAGGACATCTCTTGTCTCAGAATACCCAAATTATTGCAAGATAATTAATGTATGCTACAGGGTTAAAAAACAAGCAAATCAAATAAATACATCAATCCAACTAAAGTGTACCTTGAGATTTTCCGATGTAAACTCAGTCCATAGACCTGGACATATCTTCTGCATAAAGTCTCTGTCGTATGCAATGTAATTTGGCAAAGAAACAGTTCACATTATTTACAAAGCCTAAAGTGTTAAAGAAAAAATCCACACTCTAGTTTTTGTCAGGGATTCCCAGTTCAGCTTTCTCCTGGTCTGCTTCTACCCTGGTCTAGTCTGTTTTCATGTGCTTTTGCGGTTGCTTTGGTCTTTTTCTCTGCCCTGTTTTTCTTAGTCTTGTTCTCAGTTGTGTATTTGTTTTTTGTTATTTGTTTCATTTCATCATACTCAGACTCACACTTGCCTCCTCACCTCCTTCAACATTTACAGTACTCTTCTGTTGATACTTATCAGTTTGTGACTGATGTCAGGAAAGGGAGAACATGTCTAATTTTCCACTGAAACACAATGTAACTCACAAGTTTCAGGGCGGAGTTTCCCTTTAACACTTAAAAATTCCAGGCTTATTCCATACTAAGCCTTATTATTCAGTAACTACAGGGACTTCAGTGCAAACTGGCTGAGCTATTCTTTGGTTATAGAATTGTGTAATAAAACTTTGGGCCCATCAGTGGGCCCTGGCCATTTAATGGATTAATAATATTGCATTACTTGTCACACACTGTAAGGAAAAATTGTAAGATTATAAGATTTATAAGATTTTATTATAATATTTTAAACAGTAATTACCCCAAACTTTTAAATAAGGAACCTGTTTAAGTAAGGAACATAACATAAAAAAGACAGGGAATAGAGCAGTCCCGCACTAAGATGCATACTTGGCTCTGTTCTCAGCTAAACAAAAAAAACAACAAAATAAACAAACAAACAAAAAAACACTCATTAAATAGACATTTTCTTTTGGCAGTACATTTTGAATGATGTTTACCTGGTATCATAACAGACAATTTGTTGAAAGCAAAGCCAGGAGACAAAAATAAAACAAAGAACTTGGCACATGGAAGCTAAATAAATCTCTATATATCATTTAAACATTTTGTTTATGAGGCATCACTAAGCTCAGGGCCTCTTAGAGAACTGAAGAAGTACAATTCCCTTCATGATCTGAAAGATTATCCCCCATATACATCATCTAAAGACATCAGGTAAAATCCATAGCAGGAAACAATCATGTACAACATCAACAACAGAATTACATATTAACTAAAACACACTGATCAGCCGAAAATGCTTTGTTTACTTTGATATACACCAGTTTGGTTCTGTATAACCTCAAAATGGTTCTTCTAATGTTGCAAGCTTGACATCATAACATTAGAAGAACCTTTTTCGTCTAGCATTTGGATATGAAACCTGTGCCGTCTTCTGCAATATGGTCCACACCATGCCAGCTGATATGTGAGCCTGTGGGGGAAATATAACATTTTTGTTAAACCTTGATTAATACTAAAAAGACAAGCTTTTCTACAAAATGTCAGATGTGCATTGTGACGTTAACGCAAGTGTCTCCTGTTATCAGGATCAATCACACTTGTTAGTGTGCCTGGCCTGATGTGACGCAAGTACATGTAAACAGAAATCTGACGTCTCCTTTAAGCAAATAGCAAAATACAAAAATATAAAAGCCCCACTCACTAATGTGCAAAATAAAAGGACATAAAACTACTAACAGCTGCTTATGTCAGAACTACAAGCACATTTTAATGCACTGAAAGGCTGATATGTGGGCACACAAGAAGAAATAG